CCGATCGGCAGGATAATAAGACCTTTGAAAATGGAAGGTAAGAGCGTTTTACAGCTTTTGTTTTGGAACAGATTTCATGCCATTACAATAGCGGAAACACAACTTGAACACAAGGAGGAAACGTTCTTATATGGGGTTCCATCCCCGCCAAACTTCAATGTTCCATTTTACGTTCTACTTTTCGCATTTTATCCTACATTTGTTGTTTGACATCTGAGTTTGCACTTTCGTCATTCAACTTTCCTCGCGCAACATTCAAGTTTTTGCCTTGTACATTCACCTTTTCCTATTCGCGGTATTCAAGTTCACCTTCAAGTTCAGCGGGTTGTACATTCAAGTTTTCGCATTCAATATTGAGCATTTGCCATTCAAGTTTTTGCTTTGAACATTTGACTTAACGTATTTCACTTGCAAGTTTGCATTGCACATTCAACTTTTTAAATTGTACTTTCATCGCTAGTCATCCACCTATGGATATCGTGGGCTCAACTGACCCAGCCTACCCCCGCTAAGGTTACGATTGAAAGACTTCTTACAGGAGTCGGGTTGGGAGACCTTCTCCTCTCCCGACAGTATTCGTGGCACCTCTTGTCAAACATGGCGGATCACTAGTCGACTTCGATTTCTACACTGCCCGCGGCGGCGGCGGCAGCGCCCGCGGCTAGTTTGAGCGAGGTGAACATAGTTAACTTAAAGTTAGAAACGTGCTTAACATAGTCCTGAATGGCAGTGGCTTTTTAATAAAGCCTTTTTAGCGAATAAATGTCAACTTGTTTACGACGCGACGGTATTAAGCTTAAACTAACCTTTAGGCTTAGCTATGCATGCAATTTTGGTGTGTTTCTTGTTGACCATTCAAGTACTTTGTTTCATCTTAATTGTTGAGGTTGATTATGTATTAAATGCATTTATTCAACAGATGTCAGATGACATACCTTACTTGCGTGATCAGTGCTATTGATAGATTGATAGGATCTCAAGATCCCTCAATAGATTTTCAACCAATAGTTTTCAAGCTTGATTTTTTGCAAAGAATAACTGTTAGCCTCGATGTAGATGACGTAGTAACAAAACTAGTTGGACTTGCTCACAGTATGTTGGTTGAGATGGATCAAAGAAACCATGTTGACTGTGCATATCAAGCTCCACTAAACAGTAGTGGTAAACGAGGGAGACCTTCCTATGAAATCACTGAGGA